CCAACCACGATTCCTCATTTGTAGAGTTCAGTAGAACTCATTTAAAAAAGAAATTCCACAAAACAGCAAGAAATGTGAGATGAATTAAGCTGGAAGTAACACAAGTAAAATTATTTCCTGATTTGTCTTCAACAACATTGACTTTTGCAAACCTTGCAGACCACATTAAGAATAATAAGATAGACTTTTCTGCCTCTACACTTCACTTCCCAGAACTGACTGTATTTTTTTTTTGACAGAGCTCAGTTGTGGCTTTCTGTTATGGTTTTAAACAGATTTTCCACATCTGTGGCCTTAGTTGATAAACTCTCGTTTGCTCAATTTGGATCATCAACACTACATATATAAAAACACTTATTCCAATTATGAAAAGCTGGGTCTTTTTTCACATTATGCATTAAGCTTTTGATGGGTGGGAAGGTCATGGCTCACTGGACCAAGGTATGAACAATCTATGTATCAATTCATATACAGTATGTTGAATGCATTCCCCTAGAAGGCAGGATTTCACCATATTACCAGCCCTTTATGTATAATACTCTTTTTGGTGAAATGTAAGCTGGTCAAAGACATATCAAAATTCAGCTGGGACTAAACAAACTTCAATTCATCTAAAGCCATTCCTGCTAGAGAGAAGGCTAGAGAACGATCAGCTTCTCTTGAATAGGAATGTTGGAAAATTTCCATTTGACTGGTGCTGATCAATGTATTCTGACAGCAGAGGAGTCCTGCTGTCAGAATACAATAATGCAACCAAGAGGATTCCTCCATCCACCATGATATTGTGGCTAGGGGAATCTGTTAGTTTTTTTTTTTTATCAGCCAGCTGGCTGATTAAAAATAAACCATCCAACTATGGCTTTATGTTTTATAGGCTTCCAATAAGCTCAGCCCTCCTGTTAACTTTTTGTTTTTGTAAATCTTTTTTTAAGATTTTTGTTGGATAACCATGACATGAGATCTTATAAAATGTATTTTACACTTAATTGTGTGGTAGGTTAGGAATATAATTTCTTATTGCTTTGTGTTTGCTAATTATGGCCCCTTTTTTTGAGCTGTGTTAATAACATACAACTATCCCATTTTTCAAATGTTTATAACATACTCTAGTCATGTCAGTAAAGGCAGTTTCAGTAGATGAATATTTTTAGCATGTGTCTCAATAATACTATTTAGTTGCCCCTTTGCCCCTTTAGTTGCTCCTTCTAGAGCTCCACTTAGATAACTTGGTGTTCAAATACCATTCAGTGAGGTTGATAAAGGAGTAGAGCATGTTGCAAAGTGAATTTTCACTTAGCTTATTGTAGGAACCCCAACCCCATACCACCAACCCCCAGGTCACTTAGAGGACTAGCAAAATCCTTCTTACAATGTCCAGGTGGCATTTTCAACTCAGCTCCTCTGCAGCACTCTTCAGGAAGAAGATTCTCTCTTCAGTCCAGATACCTTGAGGTACCCACTCAATTTCTAGCTTAGTTTCTAGTGCCCTCAACTACTGCTGGGGCCAGGTCTCCTATCAGGGGAATGCTCCAAATGATACCTTTGAACATAGCTTCTCAGGGATGGCTGTATCAGATAAATATTAATAACTCACATGGTTGACCTTTTTGCACTGCTTACTGGATCATCCCTCGAGCAAAAGCCACAGCCAATCAACCCTCTGAACTGAATACGGTGTATTTCCCTGAACGTGCTACTGCACAGTTGAGGACATGGAATTCATATTGCAAAGAATAGTTATTCATATACAAGAAAAATATAAAAAAATAGGATTTTTGCCTGCACACTCTTTGATGATTCACCTTAACTTAGCTAAATACATTTTCACTAAGCTTCACTAAGTGAATGAGATAAAGTTGCGCTGTGGATCCAATTTCCCTTGTACACGACTGCATATTGTTCACTTTGTTGCGCTGTATTTACTAAGATAAGTAAAAATTCACTTTGAAAGTGAAGCTTCTCTGCTCCTTTAGTAAGTCATGGTCTTGGAGTATATTGTTTTCAATGCTTTGGCCAACTCATAGACTTGCATTGTGAGAAGGAGCAGTAAAGCACAACCACTGTGAAGCAATGCAGAAACTGCAGCAGGTCATGCCTGGGATTGTAATGATAAATGAGTTGCCTACAAGTACATCTGTGGTCATTAGTGCAGCCCATGGGCTGGATGTGGCCCTTTGTTTCCCTTTAACTGCTCCTTGAGGCACCATTCCTTCCACTAACACCAGTGATGGGGCATTGTTTACTCCCACTGACACCAGGGCATTTTCTAATCCCACTGGCCACAGTCTGCTCCCTCCTAAAGCCTGAAGGATGTTAAATGACCCTTTGTTTAGAAAGTTTGGAGACCCCTGATGTACATGTACATGCCATACACACGTACAGTATATTTCTCTTGCTCATCCTCACTGACTGAGAAATTATTAGATTCCCCCATCTACATTAACAGTGTGGATGGAGAAATCTTTTCTGCCAGTTCCCGTGGCTGTGAGCATATTTGAACAATGACTGCATCTGATTGGCTGCTGTCACTGTCAAGAATTTTTCCACTCAGTGCCTTCAATTTTTAAATCAAAGTTTGACAAGAATCAGACAAAAATAAAGCCATAAATGGCTAGTACTATAGCAATTAAGACAGACAAAAGGACTTCAATTGACACTAAATGAAAACAGAAAGAAATGTATTATATTGAAGCTTATCAATCATTAGATGTGGTGGTTGCCTTAGTTTTCTTTGATTATTTACCAATGTTTTCACCTGGTGATCTGGCCAGTAACACACCACCTATATTAGTGAGATACCACTCTGGATGAATGACCATAGGAGGCACAGCAGACAGCATCATTGTCAGTAAGGGGAGAGGGGAAACTTACATGTATTAGCAGATTTAAACACATTAAAAAAAAATTAACTCAAACGCCAGCTAATACTTTCTAATCAGTTACAGCAAACAGGTTTTTTTTTCCTTTTGAAATAAAAGTTTTACATGAATAAATAAAAGCTGATCATTATACACATCACTGCTAGTGTTATATCGTTTATCTCATCCCTGCAAACCGACACATTTGTTGGAGAGCTTGTGCTTTTGAAAAACAGCAGACTTGCTGGCTGGATTACCAGATGACAGTAGAAGAAACAAAATTTAAACAATAAATCTAATGCAGCCATCACATCCCAGACTTGGTAAGCTGCAATATAATAAATGTTTGCTTTTGGGCTTAATACCCCTTTAAGCTGGGTATACAGGCTTGGTTTTTTGTATCAACCAGCGGGCTGAGCGAAAAAAAAAAATTCACAGGTTCCTGCGTCCACATTGCTTGTGTGGATTCAGGGATCTCCCCTACTGTACTATTGTATTCTGACAGCAGAATACAACAATCATCGGGGCAGTCAGTGGCTGCAGCTGCTGATCGAGTGCTGGTTTTTATGCAGAACTGTTCAACAGAAGCTGGTCTAATGATCTGGTTTTGATCACACAGTGCGAAATTTCTCCGGTTCCTGCTGAACTGACTAAATGTCGATCCATGTGTACTCATCTTCAGGATCCATGCACACTGGCTTAAAAAAACGCAGCTCATAGAGGAGTTTAGTGTTTTGCCTGTAAACGCAACTAATGCTAGCCTATGTGTCTTTGCACATTAGATAGTCTAGGGGCGTTTTTTTAAACTCAGCATTTAGAGGTGAGTTTTCCAGTTTTGAGAGCATTTTTCTGGCAGAAAAAAATGCTAAACTATTAAAAATGCTCAAAATTAGCATTTTTTTCTGCCAAGAGCACTGGCAGCCAGTGTGCATGGAGCCTCAAAGTGTATTTATGCCTTAGCCAGACAACAGCAACTCACCCCTTATCTCAAGGAAACAATAGGCCATGATTCTACAACTCCAGAGTAGCTCAATGTTTTTCCTCTTGAGTTGTCAGTGATTCATAGCCTGAGCCTAATCCATGCCTGCCAAATTTCAGGCATAGGAAATCTTTATCTATTGGTTCAGCAGTGGTGTGTTTGGGATCAGAGAGATGCAATCATGTTGGGCTCCTATTTATCATGAAGGTATTTGAATAAAGTTTGAGGAGATAAAATTGACAGGCAGGGGAAGTAAAAGAAGATGAATGGGCAGTAATACTTGGGGAGGAAGCCTACTGTTGTGTTCCAAACAGAAGGAGAAATGGCACTGTTACACTGAACATACACTAGTAGAATGTAATTCTTTTTTTTAAACATTTATAAGAATGTTTGTTTGATTTGTTTATTATTACTGGATTATAATTGACATTTGTTCTCAACTGCAGTGACAAGAAAGTTGAGAGGAGCTGAATTGTACATTTTGCCCAGTGAAGCGATGTATATGGTTTACATTCCAAAAACGAATGTGAAAAGTAAATAAAACTCTTTCAATCCACATTGACTATTTGTAACCACTTGCCCTCCAGAGTATTTACCCCCCTTCCTGAGCCGGCCATTTTTTGTTGCTATATGGTGCGGCGCTGCGTTACTTTAACTGACAATTGCGGGTGATGCAATGTTGCACCCAAATTAAATTTATATCCTTTTTTCCCACAAATGGAGCTTTCTTTTGGTGGTATTTGATCACCTCTGCGTTTTTTTATTTGTTGCGCTATAAACAGAAAAAGACTGACAATTTTGAAAAAAAAACCCCAATATTTTTGACTTTTTACTATAAAACATGTTCAGTAGAAAAAATTAAAAAATCAAATTTCATCATAAATTTAGGCCAAAATGTATTCTGCTACATGTCTTTGCTAAAAAAAATCCCAATACATGTAAATTAACTGGTTTACGTGAAAGTTATAGTGTCTATAAATGGCGGTATATATACTGGAGTTTTTTGTTTTGTTTTATACTTTTAATGGCGTCGATAAATTACTTATAGCGAGACTGCGGGACTGCAGCAAGCATTCTGACACTGGGGGGGGGGAACTGACTAACTGTCACTGACATCCCCAGTGACACTTATACAATGATCAGTGCTAATAAAAAGCACTTACACTGGGCAGGAAGGGGTTAACATCTGGGGCGATCAAAGGGTTAAAACTGCGTGCTGTGTGTGTTTCACATTATGTGCTGAGTGCTGTTTTACTGTGTAAATATGCTGCTTAGTATTGCTCTGCTATGCAGAGCAATACAAAGCAGCATGCTGGTGCTGACAGGGGAGAGATCTGTATTGTCTACATACAGACTTCTCCCCTGTCAGTGTTCCTCGGCGATCGCTGGGTGCCAGCGGGGAATCTCCGTCTGGGACCCGGTGATCGACAGCTGTAGCCGCCAATGGTGGAATTATGTATATATACATGATTTTTACACAGCCCTTCTGTGCTGTAGCAGTATTTCTGCTATAGGGCGGTTGGGAAACTGTTAATCCTTATGCTACTAGCATTAGTAAATAGATAAGAAAATATATTATATTTGCTTGTTTTACATGTTTTTTCTCATTTTATCAGTTACTTCCTGGTTTCCAGGCCTAAGCAAATGATGTCATGTATCCTAGGAGTCTTCAGGAGGGGAGTAGTTTTCCCAGCTAAGCACGCCTTCCTGCCTGCATGTCTGAGCTAAGGGCAGATGGATTCCAGGAAGTAAATGCTACATGAATCATATACCTCACAAATTTCTGAGTAGGGAATGAGGGACACCTATTAGCAAAGATATGTCAGCATAGGACACACACCCTGCCACGCCCTCCTTAAAGGAGAATTATACAACAAAAAAAATGATTAGTTAAACCCAGAAGTGTTTTTTTTACCACTACTATTCCTTAATATTGGCTTTTGAAATTTATAAATGCAGTAATTTAGAAATTGGATGAAAGGTTTAGCACTGCAAAACATTTTTTGATAGATAAATAGTTCATTTCATATACAACTAGATCAGACCAAAATGACAAAAATGACAAATGAGGAGGATGGAGGGACAGAGGGACTTTATTCCAAATGAGGGACAGTCCTTTGAAATCAGGGACAGTTGGGAGCTATGGAATCATCTGCCCTTACTCAAGATGGCCATGGTTAGAAATGCTGGGGGTGTTTCATAGAGACATGGATGGATGGGCTCATAGCACCCGGATTGCTAAGGAAGGAAGGAGGGTACAGCCCCCGTGGTGGTCTGCCAGAAGAGTAGGTAAGGGACAGCACTGTGCAATATTCTTGCACAGAGCAGGTAAGTATAACCTCTTTTTTTTAACTAAAAAACAAGCCAGATGCTAAGGGAAAACCCATGCGCATTAGTTCCCGAGCTGGGTTGTGTGCATCCAAGCCATGCCTCTGCTACCTCATTGCAGGAGTTTGACTGATAGCAGCAGGAGCCTATGGTTCCCGTTGCTCTCAGTATCTCCTGTGAGACCAAGAAGTGAGAGCAGCCCGAATGGCACTGGAGCAGTGATGCAAGGAATGCATTAAGGTACAAAAAGTGTAACACCCCTCTAGTTAGCCAGGGGAAGTTAGCTAGGTTTTAGTTAAAGGCTGGATAGCAGCCCAGTATGAGTCAGCCTGGGATGAGTCAGCAAAGTTACTTTGGGTCAGGGCTGAGGGCTCTGCAGGACAGTTCCCTGATACCTCCCCCTGCTCTAGAACCTTGTGAAGTTTCTAAAAGTCAGTGGTTGGGTGTGAGGAGAGGGCTGATCTGCATACTTAAGGGATCTTGACCAATCCCCAAGCAGGAGGCTTGGCATGGGGTCAGGACAGCCCTTACGTATGAGAGAGCCCAACCAGGAAGTGGTCAGTGTTGGGTGGAAGAAGAGTGAGCAGGCTGAAGTGTGTAGCCCAGGAGGGTGCCCAGGAGAGGAGCCTACCTGCAGGCAGGAGCTGGAGAGGATGATCTCTCAGCTTCCAGTCCCGAGAGAGGACTACCTGTGGAGCAGGGAAGGATCCAGTCCAGCGTAAGGCCTGAAGGCAGCCTCCAATCTACCAAGCTCACAGGAGAGGACTAAGTGAGTAATCCTACACACCCTGGACCAGATAAGGGGAGAGGGCAGTCAGGTGGCAAACCCAACTAGCTCCTGATCTGCTTTACTAAAGTAGCAGTTTCTTGGTCCTCTTGCCCAGGGATTCCCTCAGGCAGCTGGGTGAAGAGAAGGATTCACCTGGGGTCTGAGGTGGTACACCAAAAGGGCTGGAGCGCTCTTCATTCTTCTTGTCCACATCTGTACATAGATGCTAAGAAGTTTGTCCTCAAGTTTCTACAGTTCCTTGGGCATCCCATACACCCCTCAACCACATCCAAGTTCAACATCCCTTAATAAAACTACAAAAACAAGCTCAAGGATTGTTTACTGTCTCCAGTGTGCAAGTGTGGAAGAAAATCCGTGTTGCATGGCTGTGCAGGACTGTAGGGGCCCAAAAAAAAAAAGTCAGCAACTCCATTTGGGGTAGTGCTAAAACGTTTAGACTTTAGAACCACTTTAAGTCTATAGGAACATGCTATTGCATACTGGATTTGTAAGAAGCAAGGAAACTTACCTTGTGTTGGATGAGAGCACTTGCAAAGCGTTTGCAGTTTATTAATATTTTAATGTCTTTTGGTCAGTAATTAAACACAGGGAAATTAAAAATGTAAACAAAATAAATCTAGTGTTTTACTAGTTTATCTTGTCAGCATGTCATAAATGAGCATCTACTAACTTCAGAAGACACAAGCAGCAATGTAGCCAACCTTGTGCTGGGATGTCAGCACTTAAAATGTGTTAGTAGATTATTAAATATGTTATAATGCCCTTTGATCTGTAATTAAATATCATTGTTACTGATATAATGTCCCCAGTCAGACGCGCACGGAAATTAAAACAATTTAGAAATTGTACTTAGCCAGTTTATGTTGTCAGCAGGTCATAAATGAACAGGCCTGAGACGCAAAGTAAAAAAAACCCACATCCAAAACAAACCAAGAACATTTACCCCCAGTTTATTTACAGCATCAATACACTAAAAATATGTAAATATAAAATCAATTCTTAGTACATCTGACATCGTCTCACTGTATAGGATTTTCTAAAAAACAGAGATTTTTTTTACCTGTAGATCAGGTCAATAAGACCAATTCCTGTTGCAGGCTGACAACAGTAAACCACTGCCTCGCAATTAGCAGCAGCATTGACAGCCTGTTTGGGGAGCTCCCTCAGTTGGCCATTGGGTTGTCTATCTGATAGACCTGATAAGCAGCTAAAGGGTCAACTATTGAGTACACATGGCAGGCTAGTCGTCGACTATCAAGAGTCCAATGGCAGAGTGGCGGAGCAGAAGCAGCTTCAATTGAAGGCCATACACAGGCCTAGGTTTAAAAGTCCCTCACAGTTAATTCAATAACGAACTCTACTCCTCCGTGCAATCTACTTGCGAGACCTTGGGTAGGTCTGGGTCCAATTTGTGGTAGAGACTGGTTTTGTTCAGCCATGCTTGAGCGAGTAATAACAGGTCTGTGCTGCCCTTTGGTGTCTGGCTTAATGCGCACAACACTGAACGTCCCAGCGTTTGTCAACGATTTGCCGTTAAGTGATGCAAACCCGCTGAACCACGTTCATGAGGAGCCGGTACAGGGGGGCATGAATCAGTATGGACCTGGCAGCGCGTGAGCAGACGACAGAGGCACATGGCGCAGGGTGGCGGTGTAGGCAGCATTATTCTGAAGCCATACACAGGCCTAGGTTAAAAAGCGGAAGCCGTCAGCAGCGTGAGCAGACGACAGAGACACATGGCGCAGGGTGGCGGTGGATGCAGCAGTATTCGGAAGCCAAAAACAGGCCTCGGTTAAAAAGCGGAAGCCGTCAGCAGCGTGAGCAGACGACAGAGGCACATGGCGCAGGGTGGCGGTGGAGGCAGCAGCAATGGAAGGCCATACAGCACCCTATCACAAAATGGAACCCACCAACAGTGTAAGGAGACCTGAAAGTGGCACATGGCAGAGTCTGGCAATGAAGTCAGCAGCAATGGGAGGCCGTACAGGGACCCATGACACACTCTGGACCTGGCAGCAGCAAGAGGAGGCGGTACAGGGGCCCATGGCAGAGTGGCGAAGCGTAAGCAGCTTAAATTGAAGGCCATACAGAGGCCTATGTTAAAAATAATAACATGTTTGGGGCATGATTCATGGCGGATTTAGTCAGTTGTGTCAGGAACTGGTGGTTTGAAATCCAGACTAATCCACGCTTGATTCATTTTCACAAACGTGAGTCTCTCCACACTTTGGGTGGACAGTCGTGTCCTCCGCGGAGTTACAATACCTCCTGCCGCACTAAACACGCGCGCTCCGATGCCACGCTACTGGCCGGGCATGACAGCCTTTCAAGGGCAAATTCAGCTAGTTGGGGCCAAAGGTCAAGTTTCGTTGCCCAGTAGTCAAGGGGATTGTCTACCTCAGTTGGCAGGGTGCTGTCCAAGTAGGCCCGAGCCTGTTGTTTGAGGTCCTGCTCCAGGTCCACCTGATGCTGCTGCTGCTGCTGCGGCTGGTTAGTAGTTTCCTCACTGCGCTGGTGAAGAAAGCTACTCATCATCGACTGCAGACTGAGGCAGCCGCTGCTGGTGGAGCTGCCACTGCTCCTCCTACCACCCCACCCCTCCCCTGCTGCCATGGCAGCGGAATGCGAGCGCACAGGGCCCACAGTGTCTGAGGATGGACGTTGGCGCAGAAAGGCAGAGACCAACTGACTACATAGGTGGTTTTTATAGTACTTTATTTTGGCCTCCCTCTCAGCAGGTGTGAAAAAGGCCACCATTTTTGAACGGTAGCGAGGGTCCAACAAGGTGGACAGCCAAAAGTCATCCCTCTGTCTGATGGTTATTATTCGGCTGTCGCTACGCAAGCAAGTCCGAGCATGCTATGGGCCATTTGTGCCAAGGAATGCGAGGGACTCCCTGCCTCCATCTCCACAGCATACTGCCACGGTGCGTCTGGGTCCTCTGTCTCCTCCTCCTCCTCCTCTACCAGATGCTCCTGCTCCTCCACTCCTGTCCGCTGAGTGGAAAAACCACCCATTTCACTCAATAATTCCTGAGCACCAATGTCCTCCTCTACCTCCTCCTCTTCTTCCTGT